TGATAAAAGTAAAACAATATGGTATAATAACATAGTTTCGTAGGGTTATGTACGTAGTCTGGATGATAATCAAATGTCGAAGTACTGGTTTGCGTGAGAACTTAATTTCCACCCCTTCAGAAAAAATAAAATATAAATAATTGTTTCTTTTTGGACAGACAAAAACACCTGTCCACTGTGTGAGTAACTAATTTCCGAAGAAGGGAAAAGAAACCCAAAGAAGGCAGCTGATAGCTTTTCTCTTCTTCACACCCAAATCCAAAAACTGAAACAATAATTTGTGACGTACGAAACCCCCACTATATATAATTGTATGAAAACCTAACACACAATTTCACGGTGAAAATTCAGACCACGTAACTCAGCCCTTATCAACTTCTATTTCATTATTTCAGCAGAGTGTACTTAATTAGGTTTTGGTGGCATCCGTTTTTATAAAGGGTGCGTTAGAGGATTGCCCCACTCACTTATAGTAGGATGATAGGCAGCTAGCCTAACTTCATTTATTTGGTACGAAATCTTTGAACGTGACATCAACCGGAAGACACATAATTACTTAATAAATAACACTACATGAGTGTGGTCACTGCAAAATCACATCCTAGGCACCGTGTTTGGTGATTCGATTTATTGTGATGAACTGTCAGTTTTTCGATGCGTTGTTATAATTTTGTATCAATATATCTCGTGTTTGAATTTCCACGACGATAACACTAATTATCGATTTGAGCATATATGGTATGCAAATAAATTCATGTCTTACATATTATTTTGAGAGACATGTAAGCGAATGATATAAGATCTTATCTTGGCCTACTTCTTCCATTAACTCAAGTCTCTTACCCTCTGTTCACAAAGAAAGGAAAATAAAGGGCGAGGAAAAAGTTGGGGGAAACTGGAGGAGGGAATTAGAACTTTTTCCTTGTTCATAAGATCTGCTACGGTGCATGAGAGTGATTATTTTGGGGGAAATTGATTGTAGTCGTTGTTTTCCAATTTGGGATGAAAACAATCGTTGCCTCTTATTGGGTATTTCCTCCCCCCTCCATCCTTTTCACCTTTTTCCCCTCTTCAAAATTGAACCCTACTTTCTCCTCACTATTTCACCACCCTCAAAATTCCATTCTCTCCAAAAAAAATTCTTTCCCTCTCCAATTTTCGCCCCCTCTTTTATCAAAAGAGGGTTAGAAATCGGTTTTTTTATACATATTATATGGTCTATCATCCTGTCATCTCAGACAAAGGTGATAATATTGAAAGCGGAATATAGCCTCTTTTAGACTACTCCTAATTTTGTAGTGTGAGTGAGATGTCCAATAATTGAGGAAGTTGCCAAACATGATTTGGCATGGTATAGTTTACAGACGCTTCTTTGAGCTAGGGACAAGGGAAATCCAATGGTCGACGTATCGTTTCACTATAATGCTATAGCATATAATGGTTCTAAAAGGCGCTAGGCGTAAGGCAGGTGCTCGGCTTTTGACTTGCGCCTTGTCCGATTAGGCGTAGGCTAGGCGCGCCTAGGCGTTTAGAGCATAAATGGAAAAATTCTCAAATATTTCCTGTTTTCTCGAATAATTCATATCATCCAAGTGCATATAAAATTAGGAATGCCTAGTTCTTAACAGTAAACACTTAACATAACAAATAACAAGCAAATAGTGACCAATCATCTGCTAATAGGTGCTTATAGGGGCAAGAAGCTTGTGCTACGTACCGAGGAGAAGGAAGGAGCAGCAATTGGCGAGTTTCGACTTTATTTCCCACTATAGCAGCGGAGCGGTGTGAAGGCGAGAAGAGTGATCGATGACTTTCTCCTGCGGCGGCAGAGAGCAGCAAATGGGGTGAGAGCTAGGGCAGCAGGCGGTAGAAGATGGGGCGAGAGCTAGGGCAGGCGGCAGCAGATGTTACTTCCCGTGTTTCTGATTTTCTAGGGCAAGATGCAAGTTTCTGATTTTCTAGGACAAAACGAAGAGTATTGGGTTTAACCGCCTAACCTTGCCCAGGAACGCCCAAGCACGCCTTCTCTCCACTAGGCGCAAACTAAGCGCTATTCCTACCTACTAAGCGCTACCAGCGCCTTTTCCAACGCCTATGGCCAAGTCAAGGCGATCCTCCACCGCCTACCACCTAATTGAGCCTAGGCGTGCGCCTAGGCGTGCCTTCTTGAACCCTGGCATATATAAGTAGCTTAATTTCTTGGGCTGTCAAGTAATTATAAACCCCTGGGAGTGAAAGAAATGCATTCATGTCGGTATATGGTTTGTCCTCCCATCGCCTTCACGTTACGATCTACGGGCGATACGATTTTTTTTTAAATATTTTTATTCACTTTCTAGAAGACACAGACATGCACTAGCTAGTAATATTTTTCCTTTTCCCCCTTTTGTCTCGAAAAATAACACTGTGTTGCAATATTTGACGTCGAAATCCTTTTTGGTCTACGATTGTGTTTGTGTTTACAATATAGTCAAAAAATCTATTCCAGGGTAACGTTCAATTCTTCTTGCGGGTCGTTTGCTTCATAGATTTGAAAAATGAGAGTTTTGGCAAAACCTGGGTTTTGGAAAACCATGGATATATGGTGGATTTGTTGGCATTATGGATTTGAACAAGTTCATTGTTTGCTTGTTGGATTTGATTATGGATTTTGCTTGATTAGAATTGTGGATATGAAACAAAAATTACCTAATGAACCTTATCTAATTATATATCTATTATAATCCAAATTTTCCATTAAAAACGAATCCAATACATACAAAGAAATTTTACTCTTTACCACAACTTTGTGAACTAATAATTCAACTATAAATATAGAAATGCATCACAATTTGGTAGTAATTAACAACTAATCTATAATGTACACAATATTGTGTATCAATTGTAACAAGTACGTCAAATGAACACATATTCATAGGCATCGAACACGTACTCAAAAGCGTCAAAGACTTATTCAAAAGCATTGAAGTTGTATTCAAAGTGGTTTGCCCTTGTGTAAATATAATACGACATTACAACAAAATAAAAAATAATTATACTTAAATACGTCAACATTCGAACGTGTATACTTGAATCCAACTAATAATATTAACATGCATATTTAAATAAAATACAACATTACAACTTTATATATGGGGTATTCCAGTTGTTTTGGGTTACATTCCATCGATTTGCATACCCATGAAAATAGGACATATTTTTATCTAAAAAATATATATGAGGGTAGATGGGTAAATTACCATCATGGATTTTAATCCATCATCCAAATCCCACCTCAAGAGGTGGAACTTGCAAATCCATGGGGCCCACAGATTTGGTCTCTCAAAGTCCATAGACCCCACTGATTTGATTCTCCTAATTCCATGAAGCAAACAATGGACTTTGCTCAAAGTCCATGATAAATGCCCAAATCCATGATGAAATCCATGAAGCAAATGACCCCTTGATGTATTGTATTCTCTACTTCCCTTCACTTTCTGATGGCTAGTCATCAATTTCTTCCTATGTAAAAAGCTCCAGCCAGCCAGCTAGCTTCTGTAAGTAAACGACGCCATGTATATAGAGACGAAACCAAGTCCAAAACCGTACGTAGGAAAACCGGAAATCAACAGGTCTTTTTTGGGTTGGTAATTATTTTTGAAGTAACGGTATTTTTGGGTTAGTTATAATTTTCATTATTATAGTCCATAATTTTTATTAAACTAAAACTATATCTCATTAATTGTGGAGTTGTCGGTCAACGAGGTTACTTAAGTGTTGAATTCATTTTAGATAAGTTTTTAAGTTTTAATCTACGTTTTCACTACAATCTTCGGAGAAGGTACCCAAAATAATTGTGGAGCACTTGAAATGCTGGCTTTTATTTTTTGGTGCGTATCATTTTACTATGATCTCTTTTATGTGTATCATTGTACTGATGTTTATAAAGCTAATAATACTACAACAGAGAAATTCCCTAAAATTTTATTTCCTATATACACTCAATTCATTTTATTTCTTATGGATTATCAGGATCAAGTTTCAAGGTACCCACCGGACAGCGGAGAGCCGGAGACTAATTCCTCGTCTGAAGGTAGCCTTCACAAATCAGCCAAAGCCCTGGGCCTTGCTATGGAAAACGGTTAAACAAACGGGCCCAAAAGTAGATCTGCAACCTGTGGATAACAAGGCCTATTATGGATCCAACCTCTGGTCCGTGGTTGCCATTTGACAAACCTGACAATGACCGTCTTTCTCTCCTTAAATCATGCTTGGGATCCAAGTCCATTTGTTTTGGTTCATTAAACATGTAGCCATGCAGTTTGGTAGGTTAGGGTTTAAGGGCTACAACCAATAATGTCAAACCAGTATATACCGTTATACTGGTTTGGCAAGTGGCATGGTCCGACAGGTAGCATAATTATTTTTTTCACTTCCTGCCGATTATAACAAAATATGTAGGAAATTAAAGTGAAAAATTATTAATACTAAATAATTTAGGCATATATAACATATTTAAAAACAATCTCTCTAAAATCATCATATTTAAATACAACATTTAACACAAACATTCAAAAGTTTGTACTTGAATCCAACAAATACAATAAACATCTAAACATTCATACTTGAATCCAACAAATAAAATAAATATTTAACTTTCAAAATTCAAGCAAATAAAAAAAATAGTTAATTAAATTCACAATATCACATCATCTTATTTAAAGGTTGAAAATCGATTATACAAAAAGCATTCCAATCGATTTTATAATCAGTACCGGTTAAACCCGATTATACCAACCGACATGTTACCCATGTCTATAACTAATGACATTTGACACTTCGTTACAAAATTACGTCAACCAAAGTGTTAACATGTCACAAATGGACCTGCAAATACCATGATAATAGCGAGTTAATATTTCAGTAATATTGCCAAAATATCCTCGTAAAATTCCTTATCATCCCTTTCTGCAATGTGATTTTTTCTACCTATAAAGATCAAATATATATCGCATCCATAATTAATCCATCTTATTTACACCAACCGTGATCTCATGAATCAACTTGTCCAAGCTAACCCAAGAAGACCCACTCCCTTCCTCCATGGCTCCCCTCGCCGCCTCCCCCAACTCCGCCGCTCTCTCCGCCGCCTTCCGCCCTCTCTCCCCTTCCATCAGCTCCTTGACCGCCGTCGCCACCCCATCTCTCTTCACAAACCCCCTCACCGACCCATCACACGTCTCCACCCTCACCCCGACCTTCATCTCTTCCACCACCATCCTCGCGTTCATCGGCTGCTCCGCCGCCATCGGCCACGCCGCCACCGCCACTCCGGCGCACACGCTCTCCATCACCGAGTTCCACCCGCAGTGGCTCATAAACCCTTTCACGCTCTTGTGACCCAGTATCTCCCTCTGCCTCGCCCATCCCTTCACCACTTTTCCCCTCTCCTCAACCTGTTGGAAAACAATGATTTAAGGGGAAAAAAACTTAACAAACCATTTCTCAAATATTGTAGTTAATTGGTTTGTTGGTTAACATGGTAAGTTAAGTCTTCGACCGAGAAGTTATAATTTCGAATTCTTATGATATCTCTAACATAAACAATGATTTAATACAATGAATGATATGACCAACTTATACAACCTGGAGATAACAATTTATCGAACATTTTTCTAACAACTCGAGTTATTGGTAACGATTAGTTTTTCGTTAACATCCACAACTAAATACTAATCAAGAATAAGAGTGTATGAGTACAATACCCTCTCTTCAAATCTGGTTACTTCTTCTTGGCCAAGTAATCCAGCCTCTTTATCTCGTAGAACCCACAAGAAGTTGGCTCCTGAATCTTCCAACCCCATCGCTATTTCCTTGAGCTGTTCTAACGAGATATCAGCTTGAGATCCGAAAGCTACGAATAAAACCGACTTCCCTTCCACGTACTTCCGGTCGAGCCAATCCATGTATTCAGGCCTTGGGCCCGAAACGTCTTCCTCCATGGGCTCGGGCGCCAAGCACAGAGGCCCGACGCACCAGGAAGTCGGTCCATTCTTGGAAGAGTTGACATAGTCAACGAAGGCTTTCTCGAGCTCGTAGAAGGTGTTCAACACGAACCCGTGGCTCTGAGCGGCAACACCAAAGGCCAACATGACAAAGTCAAAGTCAACTCCCTGCTGCGCCTCGCGATCGTAAAAGAAAGGTTCGAAGTCAGACTTGGAGACCTTCATCCAGGGGAACTGGGGCAGGGCGATGAGCTCTTCCGGGGATTCTGGTCCCCACAGAATCCCCGTCTCGCCCACCGCCCTGCCGAGCGACATGGCGTGGGCGGACATCCCGAAGGACACGAGCCTCGGGATGCGGATCCTGTTGGCAGACTCCAGGGTCCACCACAGGAATCCGTCGGAGACCATGAGACTTGGGGGAGGGGTTAGGGTTTCGATCGCGGCGTCGAAGGCCGGCTGCATGAGGACGGTGGAGGAGGCGAAAGGGTAGAAGAGGGACATGGAAGGGAGGGCGTCGCTGCTCTCGGTGCCGGCGGGGATTTCGGGGACGTTGTGGGAGAAAGGGATGGTGAGGATATTGGCGGCGGAGGCGGTGGAGGAGAAGGATTGGGAGATGAAGGGGAAGTTGGATGGAGTGGTGACGAAGGTGACGGCGATGTTGCGGCGGAGGAGGAGGCGGGCGAGGTGGAGGAGCGGGATGGTGTGGCCTTTGGACATGAAAGGGAAGAGAAGTGCGTGGTGGTGGTGGTTGCCGGCCGGTGAGGAGTCCACTTGTTCCATTTTTTTTTTTTTTTTTCTGTCTCTTTCTTCTTCTTCTTCTTTCGGCCTATGAAAGACAATATGCGGCCATTCATTGTGCATGCTAACGTATGCTATTTATGGAAGCTGGATAATAGCGACAGGGCAATTATATTTTGCCGCCATTCCGTTATCATTTGCTGTCCCTGATTGTTCAATTATATATCAAAATAAAGTCTAATTTTTTATATGGTTAATAGTAAATATTAGAGATTCACCGGCAATACCACTAATTTTGAATTTGGAGGTCTCAAATTCGAATATCTTGAATATCACTTAAGTATGGAAAACCAATGTTCCAAACAAATTTATAAAAATTATAAATTTGAGATACAAACTGAAGGCTGAGACAGAGATAAAACAGAACAATAATAGTCAAGTAAAACTTAACATCGCCCAGAGTTTCATACTCACTTTGAAATTCTAAAAGCCTTCAAAATATATGACATTCAAACAGCTTATTCAACAATAGATAAGATGATCCCTACCACACAATAATACTGGTGATGAAGTCAAATAGGGAATAATACACATCAATAAGTAAATAATAATGTCGTCCCTACCTAATTAATGCACTGATGTGATAATAGAGTATACGATATTTCGAGCACGAATCAAAATTGTCGATTATTATTTTGTTATAGGGTATACAATATTATTTATGCAGACTATGAATTAAATAGAGTTTGGGATATAAAATTATACCATAATCTCTAACTGATAGATCCCATGTCCCAATTTTAAAAACTCAAACTAGAAGATCAATTTATTTTAAGAAAATAACAATTGACGATTTTGATTCACTAAAGTACAACAAAATACATCTAACGATCAGATCATTATCGAATTAATATTCCAGGCGTATACAAGTTGATTACCATATATTTTGTTTAGTTGGGGAATTTAGCAATCTAATCTCATATGTCACCATTACCCTTTGTCATCGTGAACCGGGACTCGACCATGCTCGAGGTAACTCAAGAGTCAAGGCACGTATGTCCACGATCCATAATCGAGAGATGTAGTAAATCGACTTTAAGCTTGGAGAAGTCATCACTAATCAACTATTTAAGTTATTATTAAGTGTCCGTCGATGCTAAACCATCGGGGCTTTCCGCGTCGCTGGGGACAAAGAAGCCATAAGGAAGCAATGACGGCGATGTTGCGAGGCACGAACCAGACTAGCTAGCTAATAACTGGCGCTTAGTTTGGAGATCGTTTCGTTGCGATGATTATTTGCCGTCAATTTCTACGAAAGATATCAATTAATTAAGCGACCAGCTAGCGTCTCGTTTATATTTGTGCCGTACGTGACATGTTTTTTGTCGGGACGTTGTATTTATCGGTTACGATCGCGAACGGCCGGCAAAATTGAGATCCGATGCCACAGTTGCCGGCAATAGTGTCGTTATTGCTAAATAGGTAGTCTCCTCTCCTCTGGTTCTCTATTGTAAATTTGTAATGTAATGTGCCTTAGCTTGTTGTCTACTTCGAGGACGCTGACTTTGAGAAATCAGCATTGTCATCTACACCTATATAATAATATTCAATAAGGAGTTGATGGTGTGTTACCCGTGCCTTTGATTCGTATACCTGCATTATTTTAATTCTCGACACGATGTGTAACATCAAAACAATAATATTAACATGGTGTTGTGCATCCACAATGCTCTGGATAGCAGATGGTGATGTTCCATGGACTTGGCATGGTGAGCTTTTGTGCGTGAGCGCTCACGACTTATAATTTTAAGAAATTTTGTTGATATAATGTTCAACAACATAGCAATAAATAAATGTATCAGCTTCTGAATATCTTCTTCTCGAGTTTTTCGAGTATTTTTGGGCTGATCGAGTAGCCTTTGAGCATGTTATTTTATTGATCATCCTACCGAATGGAGGTAGGTGTGCAAGTACCAAAGTTGTTTATGCTTCTTCATTCCTTCGATATGTTTAATTGGACGATCGTGGTAAGAGTGAATATGGCGATCGATGGTGTGCTTTTGTCCTACCTAGATAATTATTCAATTATTGACCAAACAGTTAGAAAAAGTGTGAGTATGTTCGTGATTGCCTATGTTTTGTCCGGCTTTTAAAAATGCTTTTTCAAGTTCAAAAGTTGAAGCAGAGCCAAACACCTCTAAAAGTTCGGCTTTTAAAAACCAAAAAGTGTTTTTGTATAACATAAAAGCAGAAGCTCTGATTTGGAGCATCTGCGAAAAGCTGTTTTGAAAATACAAGATTATCCTTACCTTATTTTAATTTAATTTCAGAAAATATAATTTTAGTTCATTTATATCATCTTAATAATAAATTAAATTATAAAATTATATTATTTAATATAAAAGAAATCTAACAAGATCCATATTGACTATTTTTTATTGTTTAGAATTTTTATTCATATTTTATATTATATATTCTTTATAGTCATTTTACATAACTTCTTATATTAAAAAGTACTTCTAATAGTTTTTCAGCTAAACTTTCAACTTTTTTTTTTAAACCATTTTTCTAAAAGTTCCAACCAAAATCTGCTTCTACAAAAGTTACTACAGGATAAACTAGCCCATTAATTAACCGGTTACTAATGGGTGGAATTCACCGACCAAAAGTTTTTTTATATTAAGATTCATATATAGGTCACCGTGCCATATGTTTACAAATAATCTATTCCCATGACGTTGCTACGTTCATGCTGTCTCGCCATGCTTGCATATTAGCGTTGGATTGAGGTAGACCCAATTCATAAAGATCGACAAGAGCGAAGAAATAAAAGAAACCCCTTCTACAGTTCTACTGATACGTTGTCTATGAGCTATAGGAGGTTTACTTTATGGCTGCCGGTGACCATTTCCGGTGCAGATGAACGTGAGGATTAGGTCATAAGAAAATCTGAAGTTTCTGGCATGGGCCGTGAAAGATAACAAAAAAAATGTTTGTAGTGGGGTAAAGTCCATACGAGTTTGGGCCCAACAACACTAACGTGGACCAAGACTCTATCCCAGCGAACAAGGGCCCATCCCACATTCATTCTATGGATGAGTTGATTCTCCTTCTCTTTTGGACTAATGTCCCTATTGGGTGTATGCGTCATTTGTGTTACGCGAATTTTCGTTGACCGTTAAAATTAATTGTCGACCTAACGGTAGTCAAGTTTTGTCTTATCACTAATGAAGTGGCGTTTAGATGTCGCCCACATGCCACGTAGGATATTATTATTTAAATAATTTAACTAAACTTTTTAATTAATAAATAATTATTGGGTTAATTGCATGGTTGGTCACTGAGATTATAAAAAACGTTCAAGTTTGGTCACTAGAAATATTTAAATCCATTGGTGGTACTTCAGTTTACAAAAATTGTTCATGTTTGGTCACTCTCCGTCCAACTCCGTTAAGTTTAGCTGACGTGTCAGTCAACCGTCAGAGTTGACCGTTAACTTAATGACGTGGCAATTTAAAAATAATAAATAAAATAAAATTTAATCTTTTACAATTTCCAACTCATTTTCACAATAAAATAAAATAAATAAAACAAAAAAATTATAATCATCTCTCTCCCTCTACGCGGTGGTGCCGGAGGCGGAGCTGCCCGATCATTTCAGTAAAAATCCGGCCATCTGCTCGCTCCGACAAACATTTGACTTTTAACATGTATATATATGTGGATTCTAAGTAAATAGTATTCCATTAAAATAAAAAATTACAACCACCACTTATCCACCACTCCCTCTTCTCAATTCGTAAATCTTCTTTGTAAAAGAATCATATCCAATGGGTCCATCTATCGCTCCATTAATTAAGGCTTGAGGAGGTTGCTAGTCACGGCGATCAGTCCCTTCCGCAATCCATCGAGGCCTGCCTGGTATTGTTAGGAGGAGGACCATGATCTCCGCGGCGCTCGCTCCATACCCAAGCACGACCCACTGCAACAACAGAAGAGCAGCGAAAAGAGGTCGCGATTAGAAGGAAGCAAAAGAGAAGCCAAAGGTTCTGGGGCCGCCGATGTTTGGAAAGGTGCTCTGTCACTTTCGGCAATTGAAACCTCAGAAAGTTGTACTACTTTTGTTCGTCCCGTTTCTGATTTCTTTTGTTTTTTTTCCAAAGGAAATAACATCTGCAACTACCATGTTGGCGGAGAGTATTTGGGAGGTGGCGGCGGGTTTGGACTCGGAGTCGGAGGCGGGGATGGTGTTGTGGTGGAGGATAATGGAAATTAGAAGGAGGGAAAGCAAACTGATCTCTCCCCTGTTGGCTATGACAGCTCCGGTGGCCGGGGAATGGGAGTGGAAGAGGAGAGAAAGTGAAGCGGCGGCGGTCATCATTTTGTCCGCTTCCGGGAGCGATTCTCCAGCAGGAGAATGATTAAATTTCTAATTATAATTTTTTTGTTTTTATTTATTTTATTTTATTGTGAAAATGAGTTGGACATTGTAAAAAATTAAATTAAATTTTATTTATTATTTTTAAATTGCCACGTCACTAAGTTAACGGTCAAATTTGAGAGTTGACTGCCACGTCAGCCAAACTTAACGGAGTTGGACGGAGAGTGACCAAACATGAACAATTTTTGTAAACTGAAGTACCACCAATGGATTTAAATATTTCTAGTGACCAAACTTGAACGTTTTTTATAATCTCAGTGACCAACCATGCAATTAACCCAATAATTATTTATATCAAACAATATAGACAATGGTATTCGAGATTAACCCACTTTCAGCCTAGAAAATTTTAGGGAGCAGAGATCCTGAAATGGCTGAGGCCATGGTAGTAGAATTTGGAATTCAAATGGAAAACAACTCCAATTTGAGCAGCTAGAGGTTGAATCAGATTGCTTATCATTGGTCCAAAAGATTGTGCACAGCGTGCCAATTATAACGGAGCTCGGCATTTTATGCAAGTATCCGACAGGGGGTTGACTGGCGGAAGTGTGAATTATGTCCAGCACATTCGAAAAACAACTAACACAATTGCACATCTTATGGCAACTTTTGAAACTAGATCGAATAGTTCTATTGTGTGGGTTGATAGTGTTGAAAATATAAGTATCTAATTGTAATTGTACTTAAAAGACCTTAGTCATTAGGGTTTCGTAGAGCTGTATATATGTTCATGTATCTCGTATGTACTGGGTAACAAGGCAATAAGATTGACTTGGAGAGCTCTGCCTCTCCCGTGGACTAGTCCTGTTGATCAGGGAAACCACGTTAAACTCGGTGTTCTTGTTCTTTCCTTTGATTTTGACATGGTATCAGAGCCTGGTTACAGCGATTATTGAGTGATTTGGGCGTTGATTGTCATGTTCCCATGAAACTGTTTGGTGACAACACTAGTGCCATACAGATAGCATTGAACCCAGTACTACATGACAGGACGAAGCACATAGAGGTTCATGTCCACTACATTAGACAGCTGGTCACAGAAGGGAAGATACAGCTATATCATTTGTCCACTGATGATCAGACAGCAGACCTATTGACTAAGGCATTAACATCCAGCAGACATTGGTACTTATCGGCCAAATTGATGTTGCGTACCCAACATCAATTTGAGGGAGGGTGTTGAAAATATAAGTATCTAATTGTAATTGTACTTAAAAGACCTTAGTCATTAGGGTTTCGTAGAGCTGTATATATGTTCATGTATCTCGTATGTACTGGGTAACAAGGCAATAAGATTGACTTGGAGAGCTCTGCCTCTCCCGTGGACTAGTCCTGTTGATTAGGGAAACCACGTTAAACTCGATGTTCTTGTTCTTTCCTTTGATTTTGACAGATAGACCCCCTATGATTTAGGTTTTAAGTTTCGGCCGGGTGATTAATAATATAATCACAAGTTATTATAAAAAAGGATTAATCCACTTTCTTGCTCCTCGATCAACAAGACTTTTCGAGAATAAATTATGACAATTTAAAAGGACATACTTATTAAAATTAAACTTTCATCGAATCATAGCGTTGAGAATTCTAGAAGCAAGAGTTGGTTATGATGCTAATTTTCTTAAACGAGATGAGTTGTTGCGTTAGTGTTCCCAAAAGCGCGCCTAAGCACTCGTCTAGGTGCTACGCAGAAGAAAAATGGTTCACATTGACTATAAGCGATAGACAATATGCCTCGAGTGCACCAGTAGCATCCAACAACACCTACGCAATATTGAGGCATGCTGGGATGCAAGTAGAGAAAGTTCCGAGCGAGTTGGGGATGTAATTTGAGAAATTCGACAAGATGCTCAAAATGACATTGTGGTGCCTCTCTTCTCCGGTTCTCCCCGTCACTTTGCTACTACGTCAAACAATAATCAAGACTCTTCTCCCACTCCCGAACATTACTATCCACTAGGTTAGAGTTAGAGACGACCATCTCTAGAGAAGTTTCTTCTTTCTCGTGTTGTGTTTCTTCTCACTCAATCTGTTATGTCGTTTTGTTTGTTGATGTGTTTAGAAATGATGGGTCTAGGTAATGGTTTGGTATATGAACTTGTGATTATAGACAATTATGAGATATTTTTACTATTTTTGTTTCAAATGGTTAGGCGCGCCAAGGCAAGTTAGATTTCGGCAGGACTCTAATGTCCGTCTTACGCCTTGTGCCTTTTTAAAGTTAGATTGTGAAATAAATATTGGCTAGAATGCAATTACTATAGCTATTTTCGGGTAGGTGGATCTAGTTTCTTGATGGCTTACTTATGAGTTCTGATTATGAAATAAGAACTTTTGGAAGGGTTTGATCATCATCATTCATCATGCTTATGCTAGTTTAGAATTGGATCAAGGCAGCATGAACAACTCTGGTTACCCAAGAACCGTAGCCTCTAATAAAATCACCAATTTCTCTGTTCTGTTCTTACAACAAATAGAAATCCCCCTATGTAATAACCATATTCACATATAACCACAACAAACAAAAATCCCCACTCCAAATCTTTCACAAGGGCAAGGAATCCACAGAAGAACGTGGAGGCCCAGAAAGGGACCGATCAATTACATCAACATGATCCCCATTACTCTCCACCATCTCAATTATAACATCGCCATTCTCAACACTCCTTAACCTGCCACCACCAACCACAGTAACAAAACTCGCATCGCTAAACCGGCTGCTGCTGGTGCTCTCAGTTGTAGCAATGCTCCCACAGAACAAGCTCATCTCGCCACTGAATTGGCTGCTGTTTCTCCTGCTCCCGCTGATCTCTTCCCTCTCAATCCTCCTCGAAGAAAGGGCGACGTTGTCCCTGCAGATTGGACAGACGGGGATCTTCAGCAGCCAGCCATCGACGCACTTGGCGTGGAAGCTGTGCTTGCAGAGTGGCAGCACCCTGCATTTCTCCCCTAGCTTGAAGGTGTCCAGGCACACCGCGCAATCCCCGAATTGATCGACCATGTCACGCCCTTTGCCTCCAACGATGGTGGTGCTCTTGGATTCGTTGTCGTCGTTGTAGTTGAAGGATGGGAGCTTGTCGAGGTCCGCCTGGGACATCCTTGGTCGGCTGTATCCGCGGTGGGTTTGGGCGGGGAGAGGATCGGTGGTGGCGGTGGTGTTGTTGTTGGCATCGTCGACTAACGCTCTCCTGACTGATCTAGCTGTGATGAAGACGTGGATGATTACTACTCCGACGACTACGACGAAGAAGAGGAGCATGGAGACTAGTATGGACATGATCACTATGTCTGAAGAGAGTACCATTGTGTTGTGGGAATTGTGGTAACTGAAAATTGTGGCCGATTAATAACCAATTTGATTGATTTGGGATAAACAAATGTTGGATAAAGCTTATTAATGTCTTGGCCATGGGTTTGCCTTGGTGAAGAGGCCAAAAGAGGGGTTCTTTTGTAGATAATATCAGGATCCATTTACAATGACATTAAGTTTTTGGCAATTGTTGAATGCTTAAATGGATTGATTATATAATTGTGGGTGAAGAGACAAAAACAGGGAATTCATGTTCATATTTTAACAGGACACTTTTGATGTTGTAGGACTCATTTCCTCATTTCCTGTTTTTTACTCTTGTTAGTGTTGGTTTCCTTCTTGAATAAAAGTCTATGTTGTTTTGTGTGGCTTAATAACAATATTATATGCATGAGTGAACAATTTAGTCTCTTGAATTGTACATTATGGTTAGTTAGATCCCATTGTTCCAGATTGGATGAATTAAGTCTTTAAACGTACCAATTCGGATGAAACAATAACAATTATCGTGAAAGTATAAATTTCATATTGAAAGTATGAGTAGATAGAGAAATTTTATATTGGTTGATAATGTTTAGAAAAAAAATTCTTGAAAAGTCTCGTCTAGATGGGGTTTGGCTAGTTTGCAGAGGGGCTTCATACAGTGCCTCCAGCCCTCCGATAAGAGAACATGCTTTTTCGACTATTCGATGATTGGATATCTCCAAAATTTTCATGAACTTTGAAAATTTTCTTTATGAGAAAATGAATTGTGTACGAGGCTTACCCATTAGATGGTTAGGTTGCACTTCTTTGTGGCTCGTGTGATGGAATCTCATCACCCCAGCCAAAGTCATGTAGGACGACAGAATGTTTTGCACTATAATTCTTGTTTGTCTCAAGATGTACAGCTTGAGGAACTTGATTGACCTAACTTTGAAGTTTAAGGGCTTGAATAGACCAGCACGTGAAACTAAAGGAACTAAATATGCATATTTAAGACTAATTCGGCCAAGAAGATCATTAATCAATGATCAAATTGACCTATCATGTAATTAGTCTCGGTCATCCTGATTCCAACTTGGATGGCAGCTTGTGATTGTAGCGTTTGGCCTCAAGTGTGAAATGATGATGGTGATTGGTGAAGCATGATTGTCTTAACGCTGTGATGGGTTTATTTTGTCTTTAATTTCGTTAGATTTCGTTTCAGTCATGCCAATATTATTATAAACCCCCAATTGGGTATTGACAGACAAATTAGAAGCTCAGCAGCGGCATATCCTTGACCTTGGGACTGTTTAGCTGTATGTGTCTCTCTGAAGTCACTGTCACAAATTAATTTCAAAGCAATCCCCAAATGATGATGATGGCTCTTTGTAATATGTTTGCTGAAACTTATAGCACAATCATAGTACAAAATCGCGCTCGCACAAATGCGATTCTGCTGGTTCAGCAGTCAGTCATTCGACGCGGTAATGTCACCTCTAGCTAGTTTGACGAGAACACTTAACATGGCGAATCAGGCTTCTGCAAATGGAGAAGACAATACCAATTCTCGATCTAAATCCCCCAAGCAAACCAGGGGAATACAAGAAAACAATTACCAAATGAGTTGCAGCAACAGCAAAACATATCCGCGAAAGAATATTCCAACTCTACTTCTACGTACATGCAGAAAACACAGTGCGAGAGATCTAGAAAGCGCCCGTGATATTTACAAGGTCAGAAAATAGGTAGAAGAAGCAAAAATATACTCTGCTCAACAAATGATCATCATATATGTGAGGAGTTTTTACTAAGAACTCATATACGAAATACGCCTCTTTTTGCAATGGATAGAGGCTCACTGCTAAGAACCCAGAATGGGACCTTCTCGGCCAACACCTGTGACACGGAGTACCGCTTGTGCAGTCGAGGGAGGGAATGTCGAAGAACAAAACTGCTCCCAGGAACAGGGCTCGGATTCATTAGGAACTGCTGACTCTTCGTACGCAGTTTGAAGCTGCGAGAGTAGGGTTCGAGCAGCTTCCCTTGATTCTGGAAGTTTGTCACTGAGTTGGCGTACAGCAACAAGAATCAGTTTGTCGATTCCATATGCTTTGATACCTTCAGCACCCTGTTGATGGAATTTAACTTGGTTCATTTATAGATAAAGATGCAATGCAAGATAAAGACCGACAAAATACGATGATATGAAACTCGATTACAATCAAATAACAAGAGGACACGATACTAATACAAAGGGTTCAAGCAGTTAATGTTATTTCTGTTCACTTTCAACACTGAAGAATGTTAAAGGCTGAGTGAGAAGCCTGTTTCTTACCAATCTAGGAACACTACGGCAGAAGCACATGGATGCCTTGGCACGAATTCGAGGATTCTTGCCCAGAAGATGAGGCTGCAACTTTGGCAGTAGCAGTGTTGGAGAGACTGAAGTGGTCAATGCAACAAGTGCCTTTTCAGCTGCCTCGCACAAAAATCTTTTGTCTTGTGAAGATTTAAGGAGAAGCTGCACCAGCTGCATCCACACAAGAGTATGAGGGAAGTAGTAAATTGTTAGTCAAATTAGTTAGATAGAGAAAAGAAGATCAAATTCAGCAAAGAAAGTACCAGTGGATCCACAGAATCAATGATGTGATCCTTATATGTGATGAATAAGTCTCCAGAAGCCATGATCGCAGTTTTGCAAACAGCACTCCTTGGATTCTTTAATGACTTCACAATGAGAGGTATCACATCACCCCTGTTAATAACATGGGGAAATGACAAAGCAGATTCAGAAAACGGAGGAGCACACAGATTCATGCTATTTTGACAATACAATCCGGCAGCTATTGAATATTGACTTACAACATATCTAGCATTTTCTCCTCGTGAAATTTTGACAACCGGCGTGCATTGTTCAGTGATTCACAAAGCAGGACCCAATCTTTTGAGTCAAGACCAGCTACAAGCTCCTGATAAACGGGAAAAGACTTACTGGTTAATGCCAAAAGCAATGCACCATAGGAGATAACACTAGAACTGCAGGTACAATGCTTTAAAGGCACTAACCTTTATGCAAGTATCAACATCTTCCAAATCGGACAGATTTTCAGATTCAATGTATTCCACCTCTGTAACCTCCACATTTCCGTTTTCTAATCCAGACTCGACACTCACAACTCCATTACCAGCTGAAACCATTGAGGAAGTGGTTGTAACTGGATGTTCCTCAATATTAGCAACTCCATTCCCATTGCAAGGCTTGTCAAATCCCCCTATAGTGGAGCTTCTGTTACTACCAGTTTCAGGCAAGGTCTTAATATCCATGCAGCCAACCTCTGACATTTTCCTTTAGATGGAGACCAAACAATCTAATAAACCAAGAAGAGATGTTATCAATGACCCGGAACAAAAACCAGTTCAACTCACCCTATGAACAAAAAGCAGAACGGACTAAACCCGATCCAACAAAATGAATGAGGCTAAACTTTCTAGCCAACTAAAGCATGCACTCAACCATATCAACTGATGTACAAATCACTTCTTCCAATGCAAGTACTTACTTCCAAACAGATGTCAAGATTGAAAGAACTACAAATGTTTCGTTCACACAGTACACTAACAGCTTGATCATTGATGAGAATTTGACAATTACAGTTATTAAATCAGAGGACTTCAACTGAGTAGGACTAGAGATATTGACTATATTGACACTTGTACAGCATTGCAATAATTGTTCTTGTACTAATAATCATTTAATCCACACACCAACTCCATCGAAATCGGAAGCTCAGAGGGCCAAGTTTCTTATCATTACAACTAGCATGGAATGATTTCTCCAGTGATACGCATCTCCGATGCAACAGTTATAGCTTCGCCACATTAGGATCTGAATCCCCAAAACTAGACAAACAACGCAGTGAGTCCGAAAGTGGACGCAGTAAAGCCAAAATTGCACAACCAAATGAATCTGGCAAGCAATTCTGAATCCGCAAAATGCTGAACAAAAAACGAAGATCCAAATCTCCGTCAATCAACTGAAGGAAACAGAAGGAAACAAGAAGAACGAAAACGAGCATAACGACAAGCAAACAGCAGGATCTCGCGCCGCTGATCACACTTCAATCAAATTCGAAATCGGCATTTCCAGCAATCCACAAGCACAAAGCAAATCTTGCAACTGAATTAGAGAACAAGTTCGGAGAGAGTACCCGAAGAAGAGCGAGAGAACGGCGTTAGTGATCGGTCAAAGGCGGAGCAGCAAAATGGCTTCGGTCCAACTGATTCTACTCCGTCAGTCTCTCCGGAGAATTGGTGGAGTAATTCGGGAGAGATGAGTTTCACTTTCACGGGAGCGGAGAGAGGGAGTTGTATGGGTGGACGGAGTAACGGGAAACGGTGGCGGAGGGGACTTCAGTACGGGGTCAGAGGAGACGACGACGTCGTCAAGGGAGAGAGAAAGAGCGGTGGGAAGAAAGAGAGTTGGCGAGACAAAAAAAAATGGCAGAAGGCCGGCGAGAGCACGAGATATCAGTATCACACATGATTTGACCGCCTGGCAAATATTTAGGGACATTTATTTCCTTTTTCTTTCCATTCCTCCAATTATTTTGCAAAGATGGTCACCAAACAATGCTTGGATCCGTGGTTAATACCGAGATTGCCACTATCACCGTTGAGTTTGAATGAACGCTCCAATTCTACCAACGAACGGGAACATATTTTTTAGGGTTAAATGAGAAAACAATTTGGATTCTCAAGTAGGACAAATTCAGCGAATTTGCAGTTCAATGCTATTAAAGCAAAAGCACTGGAGTGAATTTAAGGTGATACGTTTGAGTTTAAATACTTTTTTGTAAAAAGTTTGTTTGTTTTTTTAGTAGTTGTTATTGTTTTAGGTTTATGCAACATGAGTAAATTGATAAATTAGAAAATATAAACTGAATATTGAAGCTGATTTCGCGTATTTTTTTATCAAATCATTGTAATAATTCTCGTCGACGACATAGAACAAATGTTACATAATCTGAGTTCACTTTAAAAGTGATATATATATACATTACATAGTACACTTACTAGACAATATTGTCATCAACTACTACAATTAAGAACCCCGTCAAAAAATAGGCAAACAAATCCATAGAGATTGGAGAGAAGAATATAACCAAACAATTCTCGCCCACGAAAATAATTAGTATAAAAATGCCCCATTATTGCTAAACCGTATTAGGTGGACTTACCCATGTAAAACAAATTATAGAGGAGTTCATTTGTCATTTTTCCTGAGAATTTAGGGTATACATGACTTCGTTTGCTTGTCGTTTCGCCTGGTCATTGGTCAAACACTTCAGAACGGTAAAAAAGAAAAACGAACCTTGATGAGGTAAGATAAGGAATTGCCCAGAGAAGAAGGATCTGAAACCCTAGAAACCCAGAAAGAGCTCAGTGAGTCGTACACCGACAGCTCGATCCAATTTCCAATCCAACCCCAAGCAGTTTCCCCCTGAGCTCGGTCCACTAGATACGCTCTCAGAAGCCCGACCCGTAACCCTAAATAACAAAAAAACCAAAAACCCAAAATCCGAATCTGAACGCCCACACCTTCCCCAACCCAACCACCGACTCCCGATCTATCTATTTTCTCTCTCTTCGCGAATCGATCGAAAGAGAGAAAGTTCTCCGACGAACGAACAATGTTACACCAACTCGGCTGAATGGAGCTCAACGATTCAACCGCGATTGCCGCCACCGCCGCAACTCTGCGCTCTCCCCTCCCGATCGATCTCAATGAGATCCCTACTTCGTCCTCCTCTTCTCCGCCGCTGCCGTTCGGTCTCGAGGCGGAGCAATCCGAGACCTACGACGACCTCGTCGCGCCAGTCGACCTCGTCCGCTCTTTCCACGACCATCCCGACCCCGCCCCGGGCCTCGCGGCCGGTCTGCCGCGGGAAGGGGCGTGCGGCACCTGCGGCGGCCCCGAGGCGCAGGGCCACGTCGTCGTCTGCGACGGCTGCGAGCGGGGCTTCCACCTGGCATGCGTCGAAATGCGCGGCGGCTGTGGCTTGGACGCAGCTGGCTCGTCCGAGTGGCTGTGCGCTGAGTGCCTCGGCGGCGGGGTGAAGAGCAAGGGGTGGCCGTTGGGGTTTAAGAATAATAAGAGGATGATTTTGGACATCAATGCTTCCCCTCCTAGGGATGCGGACGGGGATGGGGAGCCTGCTGAGGACGAAAGGCTTCTCCATTTGAGGTAAACGAGACTCTTTTTTTCCATTTTCTGAACCTTCACCGGAGTTGCATTCTTTCTCTTAGGTCGTTGAAGCTCTCTCTCTCTCTCTCTGTTCCTTTCATGGAGAACTTGCATGGGGAAAGTTTCTGTAGGATATGATTAGTAGTGAAATTTTGGATTGAATTCAGAATAAATGTTATTTTAGAGCCAATGCATGATTGTAGGATTGCCGCGAGATGGTTGATGGTATACCTTAGCGTGATTCTCGAGCTTTTTGAATCCATTAATATAAGTAGGCTAGTGCCATGAGAAGTTGTTAAACTGATACCTATGGAGTGAGCCTCTAAGACCTCTTTGATTCCATTATGCAAGTCTTAGCAATTTTCTATGTATCTTTAAACTTCCGTTTCAATGCCTTGCCTTCATTCTGTTTATGGTCCATTGGTCTAACAAATTGAACGTGCAATCATCGCATAAAAGTTACTGATTATATTCACGCGTGCTAGGAAGTGCACTCCTGGTGATAATTCTTCTGATGGAAATGCATTTGGTGCCCCAGTGACATATTCAAATCTTATATATGCGGGGAATGGATTTGGGCTGAGAAAAGGTTCAGGAAGGATGATGCATGCATTCAGAATGGGGTTCAGGGATATATTGCATCACGATGCAGATAGAGGTTTAGAGGAAGTAAACTGGGGATTTCCTATAGGAAAGTGTAGGAGTGGTGATACCACAAGTATCAGATTGCCATCTAGGAATCCAAATGAGCTTTTTCTTCAGGGTCTTAGAGAATTTGTTTCTGAAAGGCATGGTGTGCTGGCGGAAGGTTGGCGTGCAGAATTGAAACATTCTACAAGTAGTTATGAACTGTATGTGGTTTATTGTTCTCCAGATGGGGAAACTTTTGGTACAATGTCAGAGGTTGCTGTACATCTTGGATTGAATCCTGTTAGTCATGCAATGGATATTGATAGAAGTGACGGTTCTTGCTCTCAGCTGCCAGAAAAGCCACATGCATATAAGAGGAGAAAATACAAGAAAAGTAAGGAAGTTTTGGAAAACGGCTATCATAAGCATTTCCTGTCAAATATTGTAAGTGGAGGGATTGCTGATGGAAAGTTGGGGAAAGACAGGGAAGTTAAAACTGATGATAACGGTACCGGGGGTGCTGAGCCATTTAGTGTAAGTGTGAATTTTTGTCTTCGATCAGTGACAAGGATGATTAGATAATTATTCCCTTTGAATTATTACTGGAATACTACCATTTCGCTTGTTCCTTATACAGAAGGTATGTTTTTCACGTTTCACTTTCTTTATGTTGCAGGATGGATTCCCAGTTCAGTTTGAAGATCTCTTTGTTATTTCTTTGGGAAAAATTGATGCCAGACCATCGTATCATGATGTAGGACACATTTGGCCAGTAGGTTATAGATCATGTTGGCATGATAAGGTTACTGGATCAATGTTTGTACAGGAAGTGGAAGATGGTGGTGATTTAGGACCTGTCTTCAGAATCAAGAGGTTTTCATGCTCTGTTTATCGCATTCCTGAGGTTTCAACTGTTTTGGTTATTGACGAGTTTGCCGTGCAAAACAATGAAGAGAGTTGTAGTGAGATATGTGATGGAGATCCAGAAAATGTTGAAAGTGTTGATATGCTTCTTATGGAGCATTCTCCCCCTAGTGAAGATGACATTGTGAATTGTCTCAAATGTGTATCAAATGAACCTATTACAAAGACATCGGAGAGCTTGCAAAATAGTGCAGTCTCTGGCTTGTGTGGGGTGCTTTCATCGGATAAGCTGGACAGAGATTATATTGGTGAGATCTTGGTGGAAGAGCAGTCACCATCGTTGGCTTGGAGAAAGTTAGCACAGAAATTAGTTGATGCTTATTCTGAAATTTTTAAGCGTGAAGGCAAAGTTAGGCTGTCCTGCTGCCATGCTGATATTGTTGCTGGAGAACCAATCTGGACTCGGAGGGATGGGAAGTTAGAAACTAATTTTGCTATGCTGACCAAATTTTGCAGTTCCCCTAACTATCTTGGCATTCCTTTGGTATACGAGGGCGAGGTGGGCTTATTGGCAGCTTCTCTGTCGAAATGGCTCGATGAGGATAGATTTGGATTGGATGTAGATTTTGTCCAAGAGATGTTAGAAGAGCTTCCTGGTGTTGAAATTTGTTTCAGATATGAGTCTCTGATTCATAGAAGGAAACATACTAGAACCTTAACACTAGAAAATGGACTCGTAACAGCTAAAAGGAAATCTGGTGTTCAATTAGATAACTTATTTCGAAGATCTAAGAAAGCAAGGGTGATTGAAGACAGTGTTATGGATTATCCTCCAGGAAGGCTGTTGTGCCCCAAGCTTCCTTCTTCCGTCCTTGTTGGTGATCTTTATCAGGTAAAGCACTTGCATGGTCTGTGACCATCACATTAGTTTTTTTCCCGATTCGTTAGCCTCATCACAGTAGTTTTTTTAGATTTGTATGTATTGTGTAACAGAAAATTTTCAATTACCTCGAGCTTTAGTACTTGTGTTCATCCTTATGTAGGTGTGGGAGTTGCTGTGTCGTTTCCATGATATTTTGGACTTAAAAGATCCCCTTACGTTGGGGGAACTTGAAGAGGAAATTATCAACCCATGGTCTGGTTGCTCAATTGATGGGTGTACCCTTACCAAGAATGTTAGTGGAAGTCATGCCCCCGATATTTTAGGACTAGATAAAATGGATAGCCTATTCCAGTCTTCAAGAGTGGAAAATATGGCAGTCCATGAAGATGATCCGCATGCTTTTATACCAGTGGAGGCGGAAATTGCTACTGATGCTGCCCAAACTGAACTTGCCTCTGTTAATCCCTTTGGATGCATGGGAGCATCTTTGACTAGGGCTCATAGTGCACTCTTAGCTGTTCTGATATGTGAGTTACAGTCCAGAGTTGCTGCACTTGTAGATCCAACTTTAGATTCTGGGGACGCAAAATCAAAAAGGGGCAAACGGAGAGAGTCAGATAATGCAATTTCTGCCAGAAGAAGTAAGCTTAGTATGCTTCCTATCAATGAATTGACATGGCCAGAATTATCCCGGAGATTTGTCTTGGCAGTCTTGTCCATGGATGGTAACCTTGAATCTGCTGAGATTACTGCTCGTGAAAGTGGCAAAGTATTTCGCTGCTTGCAAGGGGATGGCGGGGTGCTGTGTGGTGCACTTACTGGGGTTGCTGGCATGGAATCAGATGCACATGTAAGATTCTTTCTTGCTCATTCGTTCTTTATTGTAAATTCATGCGAAGTTGTTTCAGGAGCTTTTTGTTTGAAATGTTAGGAATATGTTTTAGTGTGGACAACTTATTTTTTTTTCTTCATGGCTTGGTGGGAGTCATTTTTGTTTTCACACTTCTTGTGCGCATGACCCTTACTTCACAGATATTGTTCCTAGTTTTAAGGATTCTTGAAACTGAGACTAATGCTTTAAAGTTGATCTCCAGTTACTTGCAGAGGCTAGGAAGAAAATTTACGGATCCTTAAGTTGTGACATGGATGTTATTACCATTGAAGGTGAAGTTGCAGATGCAAGTGGAACTAGTGAAAAGAGTGATCCATGTGATGTGACCATGCCTGAGTGGGCTCAGGTGCTGGAGCCTGTTCGAAAACTGCCAACCAATGTTGGTACCAGAATCAGGAAATGTGTTTATGATGCTCTTGAAAAATGCCCACCAGATTGGGCAAAGACAAGATTGGAACATTCGATAAGTAAAGAAGTGTATAAGGGCAATGCATCAGGACCAACAAAGGTAGAAATTTTATGTGCACTCTTTTGGAGTTTTATTTACAAATTAGGCTGAGAACAAAATTTGATACCTGGCGAATGTTGTGGATAATATAATGATTCTAGTCCATAAGGATTGACATTTATCCATGCCCGTGCCTGCTATAATTTAAGACTTAAGCTGCCGGTTGGGAGATGCAATACTACTCTCTCTTTATCCCTCGAGTAGTGTACCGGTTGGGTAGTCACCTCCTGTCAAAGGGTCAAGGGTTTGATTTCATATCCTCCCAACTATGAAACAGAAAAAGAAGCTGTACTTGTTCCTATAATTTAGCCATTTTGTGCACAATTTTTGGAGATTAACTTCCACTTCTTGCTTGAAACAATGTAGTGATACAGTTATAGCTTTCTGGAATTCTTGGTAAGCGAGGGGCTGGCCCTTCTTGCTTTTTTTCCATTTTCGTAGCATGCTTTATGTGTCTATGTTATCTCGGTTTTGACACCTAAATAGAGTTTGTTTGTTCCCGACGTAAATTCAGAATTTAAACATGCCTCATTAATTGATCTCATCATACCAGAGCACCTTCTAAGTATTACTGGGTTAGTCATTTATTTAGGTGATGGGTCCCTCTCCCATGCTGGAGTACGATTCTAATCTGATCTACTTTCCAACCCACCTGTCATCAGAATGTTCTGCTTTTTGCAGTACACATACATTGAACTGGACTTTTACTAGCATGGGTGATTCATATCCTGTTCTCAGTCCACTCATTGTTCAAGTGCAGAAAGCAGTACTTGCGGTGCTGGCAGATGTACAGAATGAGATAGCAATGCAGAATTCTGAAAAAAGAAATAAGAGGAAGATGGCTATCGCGATATCCGACGTTATAATGAAGCAATGTCGGATTGTCTTACGCCGGACTGCTGCCGATGATGATGGAAAAGTTTTCTGTACCTTGCTGGGAAGAAATCTACTAAATTCAAATGATAATGATGACGAAGGACTCCTTGGATCTCCAGCCATGGTTTCTCGTCCTCTTGATTTTCGGACTATTGATTTGAGATTAGCACTTGGAGCTTATGGGACTTGCCATGAATCCTTTCTTGAAGATGTTCGAGAGGTTTGTTATCTTGCTCATATTTGCTTAAGCAGAATGTGTCTTGTGTTCACTCTTTTTGCGTCTTGTCCACTGCAATGAGTATAATGTATGCTCTGTTGTTTAGATGTCTTGACAGCCACCGGGCTTGTTTCTGGACGTTGTGTTCCATTGTCTGAAGCAGTACGTACTGATGTTTTTGTTTAACTAGACATTTTCATGTTTTCGCATGGGCTTAGTGGGGTATGATCACATAAACCATGTATGTTTAAACAATAGAACCTATGGGCATCTATAATGGGAAAATTAAGTCTTCGTTATTTATGGTGATACAGTTGGGAATGGGTTAATATAATGACTTGCAGTACTCAGAAGGACCTATCTGCTGATTCAATTTGAACATAGATGGGCAACACTGATGGCCTAGAAAGCTGCAATTCAAAGATATATGTAAAAAACAAAATATAGAAATAATCTGTCTATACATGTTATTCATTCTACAAGGATTTTCTACTATAGATTGAATGGTTGTTGCTGAGGTATGGGCCTCATGTTGCCTTTCTATTGCAGTTGTGGGACAATGTGCAGGCTGTCTTTCATGATCAGTCTGACCTGTGTGAGTTGGCTCAGACGCTGTCCTGCAATTTTGAATCTTTGTATAAGAAAGAGGTAAGAGCTTCTCCACTTTGATTCTGTGTAGCATAACTGAAAATTGTTCTGACAGTGAGTAGAAGTTAGCGACTGAATAAGCACTGTCATACAGTTTATCCGACTATTGATCTGCATATTTGATGGAAATGGCTCTGACGATAGCATTGGCTACATATTTATGTTGTCTTGCTTTTACACCTTGTATATTTGAACCTATGGGGGATATTTCCAATGTTTGTTTTGCTGGTTTTTCATGCACAACTTATATATTTGGTTGGGGTGAGTTGCTTAGCACATAATTGAGCTAGGGATTTGTACATTGCTTTTTGTTTTTCAGATAGTTAAGAGGTAACAATCCAATCATCCTCTGCTTATTTTACTAATGTATTTTAAGGCGTTGCTTAATACTTAATTGATGCTAGGTTGTCAACCTTGTTGAGAAGTTGGAGGCGTATGCTAAAATGGATCACTTAAGTGAAGAAACTAAAAAGGACTTGGAGGATGTCCTTGCCTCTGTTAAAGATATTCCAAAAGCGCCCTGGGATGAAGGTGTCTGCAAAGTCTGTGGTGTGGATAAAGATGATGACAGTGTCCTATTATGTGATACTTGTGACGCGGAGTATCATACCTATTGCTTGAGTCCGCCTCTAGCCAGGATCCCGGAGGGAAACTGGTATTGCCCATCTTGTGTCAGTGGTGTTTGTGGCATTCAGCAGGCATCACAAACCAGTCATGTTGCTGGCAGAAGTCTACGCAAGAAGTACCAGGGCGAGGTGACCAGTGCTTACTTGGAGAAACTTGGACGTTTATCTGTTGTATTAGGAGGAAAAGAGTATTGGGAGTTCACTGTGGATGAGGTTTGTCTCAATCTATTATGCTTTGCTGAGTTTTGAATGCTATACTTATGCTATTTTTCATCCTGCGCTTTCAAATCTCGAAACTGGGGAACTTGTCCCGTGATTTTGTGAGGCCTATTATTTAATTCTATCTCTCATGTAGTTGCTTTAATTTTTTAATATACGGCCTGTATTTTTTACCTTCTAAACTTCTTTACTGTGTCGATGCATATCAGTGGTATAGTCTAGGGACTGCAAATTGCTCTTTTTTCTGCCTTGGACATTGCTCATTGTGATCATAATAAATAAGGTGGTATTGTATCAAAAAGCTTTAGTATGTGATATTCAGTTCTGCCTGGCTCTCATTATAATGTTATTTAGGAGGGAAACTAGTTGGTTTGTCCTTTAGTTCTGATCATTTGTCTAAGTTCTTCCATCCCTGAATGCAGAGGATCTTCTTGCTCAAGTTCTTGTGTGATGAGTTGCTTGGCACAGCTCTGATCCGTCAACATCTGGAGCAGTGTATGGAAACATCAGCAGAGTTACAACAGAAACTCCGATCATTTGTGGCTGAATGGAAAAATCTGAAGTCCAAGGAAGAATTCATGGCTTTAAGAGCTGTGAAAAAGGATTCTTGTTTCATTGGTGAAAGATATGTGAAGGAAGGTGTAACTTCTGCACTTATGACTTCATGTAGTCATGTGGTACAGCCAGTTAGTTCAAGTGATCGACCTACACTTTGTAGTCCTTTATCAAATGAAGTATTGACAATGAAGGGCTGCGGAGAACGAACTGGGATAAATGGCTGTAGTGAGACCTCTATGGATTCTCAAATCTTTCATGGTGGCAATGAACAAGCTGTGTGTAGCCAAGGTAAAGAACAGCAAGTGTTGATGGATGGTAAGAATAGAAGCTATCAAGAGAATGGTAATTTTTCTGCACGCGATCAGTCCCCGTCAGAAAATCATTTGGCACAGGTTGGTGATGCTATCATTAAAAGTGAATCCTCGGATTCACATGGACACTTGACTACTGATAATATGAATGAGCCACAAAACTATGATACCGAGCTAAGTTCCCTCAAGAATGACATTCTTATGTTGAAGAACTCCATTATGAGCATAGAATTGCAGCTGTTTAGGTTGTCTACCCGGAGAGAGTATTTGGGAAGTGACTCTTTGGGTCGCTTGTACTGGGCTTCAGCTGTGCCAGGAAAGAACCCGTGTGTTGTTGTAGATGGAACCTTGACACTGCAGCAAAGAGAAATATCAGGTTATAGAGACCCAGTAAGCAGCAAGTTGGGGACCATTAACTCTCGCTTACCTTCTGGAAGACTTAAGGACAATGCTGAGGTGCATCCCTACTGGATTGCGTATGAATCTGATTCAGAAATTAAAGAACTCATTGGTTGCTTGGATAATGACCTAAAACAGAGAGAACTGAAAGAGTCTCTTCTGCAACTGCTAAAGCTGAGATCTCTTGAAAATCGCCAAATTTGTTATTCAGTTGAGGCTGAGCACCAACCAGCACCACCAGTGGATCTAAACAAGGAAAAAGATTTATCTAGAGATTGTGTCACTACAAAAGCTGCGATGTTTATGGAGAAGAAATATGGCAAGTTCGCTCAGTTAGAGTCTGGTCACGTGTCAAATAAGTTGTTGGAAAAGAAAAGAATGACTGATGGAGATAAGATGTACAGGTGCGAGTGTTTGGAGCCAGTTTGGCAGTCTAGACTCCATTGTTTCACTTGCCACCGAACTTTCATTGATGATGCTGAATTGAAGGGCCATGGTGATGGCACTTGCTGTCAAACTCAGAAGAAGTGTGAAGAGAGTAATCATTCTATTAAGCTCATGGGCGAGATGGCTTCAGAGGCATTTAACAATAACTGCACGGGCAAAATTGCTGAATCTTCTAAAAGCAGATCTGATCCCAGATCTAGGCTGGATAAATTTCAAAGTGAAGTGATACCATGTCCCTACAACTTTGAAGATATCAGCTCTAGATTTGTTACAAAAGATTCTCTCATGGAGTTGGTGCAGAGTATAGGTCTGCTTAGTTCGAATGGTGTACCGTCTTTTGTTACGTCTGTTTCTCCTTATGTCAGTGATTCCACTGTATTGTTGATTTCTGCAATGAAAGATGGAGGTGGAGGTGGAGGTGGTAAGTCGAATCTTGATAGGAGCCAGGTTGATCAACCAGTTTCTGATAAAGTTTCTGGGAAATCAGTTGCTGATGAAACAAATGAGCTTGCAAGGACTAAAAAGTCTTTTTCTGGAGGTCCAGAAAGGCGGGATCTTAAGTCTCACTTTGATAGACGGAGTTCTGAAACCAGGCATTTGAATCATTGTATAATTCCTTCTTCTGCACAAAGGCCATTACTAGACAAAATATCTGCACCTATTATGAGGCAGCTGAAGATAAATTTGCTAGACATGGAGGCTGCGCTACCTGGAGAAGCCTTGAGGGCTTCAAAGTCAGGAATAGAAAGGAGTTGGGCCTGGCGTGCCTTTGTTAAATCGTCCAATTCAATTTATGAGGTTGGTCTTCCGACATTGTTTCCATTTGGGTGTTGACATTCATTAATTACTGCATTTGACTTTCCCTTAAAAAGTGATACCTTTGACTTTTCTATTGCACCTATATGTGCTGTTAACGACGAAAACTGAACCGGAATGTTCACAGAATTGGTGATTTCTTCCTGTTTCTAAAGTTCGTCATAGGCCCTAAAAAATCTCCCTTCCTATTTTTCAGATGATCCAAGCGACAGTAGTATTGGAGGACATGATTAAAAGAGATTACTTACGTAATGAGTGGTGGTATTGGTCGTCTCTCTCTGCTGCTGCCAAAACTGCCACCATTTCTTCCCTGGCTCTGCGGATATTTTCCCTTGATTCTGCCATTTTTTATGAGAAAGTTCTGTCCAATTCGGATTCTCCAGAGAAGTTGAAGCCCATCAGTATATCTGAAGAGAAAACAGTGCATCTGGATTCACCTGACAAAAGCAAGACAGGGAGGAAGTCTAATAACAAGAAAAGGAAGGAACCAGAAGGTTAATGGATGGTTGTCATTTCTAAATAATGAGAACCTAGGTGTTAGACTCAACCTTAGGGTACAATCAAAATGAAGCACGAGGGATCTTATTGGGTGCATACCTGTTCATCTCAACGGCTCAACCTCAAAGCATTTTGATGGAGCTGCTGCCTTGGGTGCTTCACATTAGTGTATATAAAAATATGCTGACACGCTAACTCGAATGATGGATTGACGAGTCAACAAAATGCTCTGGTTCATGCAATTCAGAGTAGTCTTGTACAAAAATGAGCAGGACCAGCGCCGTGGTGATTGCTGCTGCTGCAGAAAATAATTTTGGTGCGTGAGAAAACGAGATGAGTTTTTTAGATGGAAGAAAATCCATGTAATGGGGAAATCATGTTGAAAAAGGTAAAGAAAATTACTAGAAATATTTGATTCTTTGTACCTTCCTTCCATTTTTTTAGTTGTATCGAGTGATAGTTGCTGATCCTTGCTTTCCCTACCTGATGCTATATTTGCTTCTGCCCTTACAAGTTCTCTGGTGGCTTGCTGATCAAAGAAGTCTAATTTACTTGCACTACTTTCCAACAGAAATGTCATTCACTGAGGCCTGGAGTATGATACGCTGTAGGGACTGCTACTTATCTCCCGGAACCCTCATCTGGAGGTGCCGACGAACAATTCTAGAAGTTGCTGGAGCCAGGTTTTCAAAACTCCTCACAACAGGTACTTTTTCCTCACGTTCCGAAGTTTCTGTGCGTCAGGCATCCTCCTTCCTTCCCTGCGTCCCCTCTACTTTCCCTTTGAACGAAGTGTGGCTATTTTGGGGCAAATACTGGTTAGTGTTTACACTGAGGCTCAGTCTCTTTAAGGTGACTGGTCTGTAGTTGTTTAGCGAGCCAGTTTTGTTATAGTGAGCTTTTCGGCACTTGGGGTTCCGTTGCTCATTGTGTAATCTATGTAACTCTGGGATTTGTAGTCTGCCGATTATTACCGAAGGAAAGAATGAACTGGAAGCTGGGAGACGGATTTAGTTAGTGACTTAGAGTTTAGGGTTGGACTTCTTCATGGAAGTCATGTACTATACTTGTCTGATTTGAATCAATGTCAATCTAATAGCTTCGTCCCAATCGAATCTTTGCTACGTGCATCTCATTGTGTTTCCTTTTCTTCATTTCGACTTTGAAACTAGACATTATTACATTATGATTCGGTTTCCCCCCTCAATTTGAAACAAAGAAATGAAAGAATAGGGTGAAATTGAGGCTTGTGGTGGTTGAAGTGGCAGTGGTGCCTTGTTAGCTGTGTCATAAGCAATTGTTTGCCTCAAAATCAGCTCATTTGTTAAACAGTTTTCCCAGCTCCAGATGTGACCTTTTTTATTATCATAGAAGATGTGAATATTTTGTCTACGAGTGAATTTGATAATGCTTTTAATTATATGTACATTATTTGTGTTAAATATTTTGAGCTTGAAGTTGAAATGTCTCTGTGAGACTTCTAATCTAACTTGCCAAGTTCAGATTAGATGACTTCATTGACATTTTCTTCTGTATTATACTTTCCCGGTCGGCAATATTTAAATGACTTCATCTAAGCTTGCAAGTTATGTTTAGCTTTAGATAAGGCACCTAATTTAGCCATTTAGGGGTGTCGGTTGGGGTCGGGTTCAGGTAACTGAACCAAAACCCGAACCCATAATCCTTTGAAACCCGAACCCGACACCTATAAGAAGGTTTTCTTTTTCGGTTAACCGAAAATGAAAATTATCTTATCGGTTTCAGGTTCGGTTAAAGCAAAATCGAAACCCGAAACAAACTATGGGATATAAACAGTTGCTATAGCTTCAGGTTTTTTAACTGCACCCGAGCCCGATAAGCAAAACCGAAACAAACTGAAACTGGAAAACCGATAATGCTTCTCACCGGTACGATTTTGGTTAAAATTGAAAATCCGAACCAGAATTGACACCCCTTACCCATAGCTTCCAGTCTGACTTGTATTTAGAAGTAGGACTAGTAGGCATGAATTGTGACCTAGTCGAAGATTGAGAAGCCTTGCAGTTCTACACTAGGGTTATCGTCGTCATAAACAGAAGTATTTACTATATAGCTTAAGCATTAATACCAAAGTTGCTGCACAGAAGTAGTAGCATAATAATCCAGATGACTAAATACAACTGTTTAAACCGTTTTATTCATCGTCCTTTAGTACCCCCTAGAAGTCTTTCTTGAGGAGATCAGCTATTTCCAGACTCAGAAACATATCCCCTATTGTGTCTCTCTCCTCATCTCCATAACGTTACAACACAAACTACGCCAGATATTATAGGCACAAATACACTGTAATACATATGCGTCATAGGCAAGGCACAACACTTCTCAACCAAGATGGGTAGGGTTGCATCTATTTAGGACCACACCCACCATCCCAGAGCCTCTCCTTCCTCCTCGTGCTGCTCGGCGAAAACGTGGGTGTAGTAACCTTGTCCGTTGTCGCTCCCATCATCCTCCTCCGACTGCATGGCTTCCCCTGGAACCATGGCAGCCGTGGCAGGGTAGTCAGACTCAGCTGGGAAATAGGAATCTCCACTGTCCACAAGCTGGGGACTGTCGTCATCGACCACAGCGCTCCCAACGCTCCCTGTGCTCAGCCGATCCTCCACCGCCTTCACATTGACCGACTGGCTGGCTGCTTCCGCTGGAGGCACGAGGTTCTCCCCCGAGATTTGCACCACTTCAGTCGTCGTCTCTTTGGTGTCCACTTTCTCGGTCAAGGAAACCATCTGCAAAGTGACAAGCCAATATCTTTACTAGGGTAAGCATAATCTGGGTAGGCTCGCACCATGGCCATGGTATATTCCTACTTTTAGTGCCCTTCTTTTCTTACTAGGGAAGAAATTAGGAGCAAAAGGGGTAGCCTTTTTTGGGACAAATTTTTAAAACCCAAAAGGTGGTGGAGAAGTAGTTGTGGGGTTTGCAGAAGCAGATGCCACATGTGTGTATAGTTTTTTCAATAGTGATACAGAAGTGTGGAATCTGATAGGGATATATAGGAGAGACCCACTACTCTATACAGCAACCCCACAAGTCCAAATCCAACCCCCAAAGCTACATACATGTCCATCATAAAAAAAAAAGGAATATGGATGGGAGTAAAAAAACAAATACAGTTCCCTAAAGCAATCAATCATATCATCTGGGAGAGAGCAAGATCAGCTGTCAGGAACCCATGACTCTCATAATCTTCTCTTTAAGCTTTTCCTACGACTAACTCTTAGTGGAGAGTGGAGAATTATACTACTACCACCACCGTTTCTTTTTAACCAAAAGGAAATAGAGAAAAGCTAGCTGCTTTGCTTTGCTCTGATGGATCAGTCCATCTTGGACTAGGATTGGATGCCAGTTGTGAAAGACAGATTGATGGTGCACTTTCCTCACTAAAGAAAAGCGAGCAGAAACTTAGGAAAGTCCAGATTTGTGGTGGCTTTTTAGTTTTTACCTCAGATTTGAGCTTCTCGTTCTCCTTGACTACAGAGTCGTAGTTGGAGCGAAGGGAATCGTAGGAAGCCTTGAGGACGTCGTAGTCCCTCTCCAGCTGCTTTGTCTTCCAACGGGCTCGTCGGTTCTGGAACCACACGGCCACCTGCCTGGGCTGCAGCCCTAGCTTCTTGGCCAGCTCTGTCTTCCTCTCCGGCTCCAGCTTGTTCTCTGTCTCAAAGCTCTTCTCTAGTAGATGCACCTTCATTGACACCCAAGCAAACCAACCCTTGCTCAATAAGAGTAGTATACAGACAGGGGAAAACAGCTAGCTATTCTATTCTACCATTAGAGACACATTTCAGTTCAGAAGAGCTCAACCAGATGAAGAAAGTTGGTGCTTCGATCGATTAAAAGACCCTTATCTCTCAGGCAGTTCTTCTAGGAAACTAAAACCCACAGAAGAGGAGCCTGAAAATGGCAAATTCAGATGCCATGGCTCTCAAATGCCTCATGTATTCAGTATATCAGTCTCTGGCTGAGTAATGGCAAAGAGGAATTTGATACTTGATAAGGGTTGGGAATTTGGGTATATGCCAATTCTTCACATGAGGAATATAATAATATATAGCCTTTTGTTTGGAATATAAAGAAGCAAATATTCAAATACTAAGCCCACTAGTCGTGTCTATAGGTCATTGGTATGAGTTACCTGCTCTGCTGAGAGGCGGCGCTTCTTCTCCGGCGACTGCTCGTCGTAGTATTCCTCGTCATAAAAGTCCCCCGGCGAGCTGAAGAACGGTCTCCTCTTTGAGTGGTCCTCCATGCTCAACATGGTTCTTTGACCTGCAGCACAAGAACAATAGGCTCTTCGTTAAGAATTAAAACTGTAGATTGTTTGTATGGATCAGTTCGAGTTACTTGAGATCCAAGTTTCAATTCCAAATAACAAGTCATAATCTCAAAGTCATCAACAAACAGAGTGTTTCAAGGAGAAAGTTCAATAGACTGAAAGCAAAAGTCAACTCTAGTTAATTGCAACAGCCAGAGCTTGGCTGTACTCTACTAGATTTGATTCACATCTACCTTCATTTTCCTATCAACCAAACGAAAACTTAGTTGCAGAAAAGGGGGAAATGAGAAAATCGAAAGTGATGACTCCGTTCCATTTACCTCGGAAAACAGAGTCGCCGCCGCTTCCGAGGAACAGCATGTTCCCATGGCAAGCGGAAGGGTCGAAGAAGAGATGGCCCGATTGGTGATCCATGCTTCTTCTCCAACTTTTTGCTGCTTCGTCGATTTTCTCTTCTAGTAATCAGTAGTAACCAGTAGCATATACGATCGGCTTTTCTCTCAGGAAAAACCTACCGGCGACGGGGGAATTTCGGTATAATAATAATATATTTATGGAAGGGTGGAAAGGAAATCTGGCGTGTGAGAAGGAAGGGGTTAAGGATTAGAAGAGCCTGAGCTTGTGGCGGAAGAAGCTGGTACTCCAGAGTAGCCTCGCCGGTGTCTCCAGTGGACAGATGCAGAACCCCATCGCTTCCCACCGCCGGTAACCCCCCAGTACGGCGACTCTGACTAGCCCCAAAGAGAAATGGGGGAAACAGAGAAAAATAGCACAAACAGAAAATGGAGAAGAAACCAAACAGAAAGAGAGAAAGAGCTGGTCAACACTCACGAAGCCACCAAACCACCATGGCTATCAGAATAGGAAGGGGGGGGGGGGGGGGATAAAAAGTCAACGATGAGAACCAGCACGTCACCGGAGGATATCGAATTCCGGCGGCGGTGGCGGTGGAAGGAAATTGACAGTGTTGTGTCTCTGTTCTTGCGGGTGGCGATTTCAGTAACTAGAGTAAGGTTCGGAGCGAAGAATCGTCTATGGATTATATAGTGGTCGGAGTAGAGACGAAATGACGTGAGTAACCTTCGCGGATGGCCTTTGTTCCACTAGAATCGGGGGGTGTTTTGGGGATTTGAGTCGGTGGTGGAGAGTTGAGCCCTGGTGTTGACTAACGTGAGCGGTGGGTGAATGTGGGCGTAGAGTGATCGGAGCCGTTGGATTTGGAGGGAAGAGATAGGATTGGCTGGATTGGAGGCGGGCGAGGTCGTTGCGCCAGAGTGTTAAATGAGCTCCCATCCTTCCCGGTTGGGGCATTGTCGGATCCTAAACGGGTCGATTTTTCTTCTATTTCTAACAACCTTGATAAAAGTTAAAATCTCAATTCCCCCTCTTTTGATACGATAAATTTACCCCAACTCTTTGTTTTCAACAGTGTGGAATAGGATAGATCATTTTTAGGCATGAGATATAGCATTTCAAATGCATTTGAAAATAGGTGATCTTCAAACGCCTAAGTTGTTTATATTGCGCCTTTTTCAAAGAATTTTGTTAAGTGAATAAGGAATGGTACTAGGTTAAACTAACTCTATGAAATCATACCGACCCTTGTACCGTACCGCACCGTATCGAGTATAATATGGTTCGGTCCTTTGTCTCTTGAATTTGATAAATACTTGAAGAAAAATTATCAAAGTGAAAATTTGGATTGGATCAAAGCAGATCGAATGCACTGTTGGTTCGGCCCTTGGTCCATAGATGTCTCTTCCTATTGGACCGCTGTTCTCCAAAATTTGGTTCATTCTGGCCTAAACCGG